CTGCAAAAAATGAAAGAAGAGTGGTCAACACTAATTTTATGTTAATTTTTCAGTCTGTAATTTGATTTATTAAATTAATTCCTGTCAAACTTTAATGATTAGCTGCTTTTAAATGAATGATAATTATTGTTGATAATTCCGTATTGTGTTAAGAAAAATATAATTGAAGGAAAGTATTTGAATTTAAGTAAATTGTAAACACCCAGAACCACAAAGACCGCTAGAATGAAATTTCACCAAAAATCACCTTGGGTGCTCTCGCAGACGTCCAGGCTTTCCATATATATTGCGGCCATAAGAAACTGCGTACTTTACTGTGGAGTTTGCTGAATAAGTCATTTGGGAACTTCAGGTGTAATAATCCATATATTCATTGCATTAAAATATATCCCTTTCTGTTTTATTTCTTTGACATTATTGTTACCAAAGAGATGACATTTCAGGCTTTCTGGAAAGCCAAACTCGTACTTTAATATACTAGTAAAATCATAACAATCATTCCATTGGGGGGGGGGGGGCACAGCCATACATTTTCAGTTTGACAACCAAAAACAAAGCAAACAAGCTAATTCGGAGACTTTGTGTTTCCCGCTTAGGGACAGAGTAAACCATGCGCAGTTCAGAGGGAGGGGCTGGGTGGGAGGAGGGGTCATATCCCCTTGACTGAATTTGTAGAATTATTAAATGCATTCTGATTGACATAAGCAAAAAAAATATTCCAATATGGATAATTCATAAAGATTTGATTGCCTATTCTTTATTATGTGTATAGAAGATTCTTTTTATATGGAATATTTATCTCACTGTAATGATGATTTCATGAGTTTGTTCAAGCCAAACCTCATATATTTTTCATTTCGCATGCTTAATACTACAGTATCATTTAGTAAAAAAATAATTTTTCGAAAAAAAAAATTAGATCGTCCGAGATGCAAGCCCAGGCCCTCTCACATATGAAGCGAGACATACCACAAGACCACGGAACTGCTTTAAACAGACACAAATTATATGCAAAGATGAAGTCACACACATGTATATTTTCACGTTTGATCTTATCAAAATGTTACACAATGCATTGTGTCAAATTTAACCTTTAATACACAGTACAGTTCTAATAGATGTAATAAGAATATAAAGTCCACCTTTAGAACCTGCACGTAATAACTCTCCTCATGCCCCCGTGCTAAAAATAGCGACATTTAATACAATAAATACTAACGGGACAGAACACTTTGAGAGGGGTAAGAGAGGTTCTAGAGAGTTTTGATATACAATTACATTGCAAAAGCTCAAAATCTTCTTGAAATATCCCCTGGAAAGGATAGTGTTTCATACAGACAGAATGTATCAATTTACGACCTTGAACTTTGACCTCAAAATCAATAGGGGTCTTCCTGAGGCCACAGGGAGTTGTTATGTAAAATTTCATTGCAAAAGAGCAAAGGGTTCTCGAGACATCGCGCAGAAACGAAAGTTTTATTACAGACAGAATTTGCGAATTTATGACCTTGACCTTTGACCTTTTGACCTTGAAATAAGGTTCCTCTTAGTTCATAGGGAGTTGATATGCAAAATTTCATTGCGAAAGCCCAAAGCGTTCTCGAGATATTGTGTGGAAACAAAATTAATACCCCCCACTTTTCAAGCGACGGACAAAAAGTCATCAGAAAGTTTTTATTGAGGGGGCACAAAATTGAGGGGCCCCAAGCATTTAATAGTTATGATTTTTATAGTATTCTATAAATCGGCAAAATTATTGTGGGCACAATGTAAAGAAATGGGGGCACAATGTAAATAAATGTATCCTCATTAGTATTTCATATAAATAATAATTTTCTCCCTCATCAATGTTCTTGTTTAAAAAAAATGTCGACCTACTCATTCCACAATTTAAAATTCAACGATTTATTTTGTTTTCATACATATATCATTTTTTCTTGTAATCCAAATTTCCTTTTTATTTCGTTTTAATACAAAAAAAATTTTTCTTGCATTATTATTTAAGGACGTTCGATCCTGAGTTTTTGAGCGGATTTTGGTCCTGTCCTTTGTTTATGAACTTCTGCGTCATTTTTAAGTTCTGACATTTAGTCTGAATTCTACAATGCAAATTGAACTATATTCAATGAAAAAACCGCGATTAAATTCCATTCAAGTAGAATTAAGCTAGGAACTATATTTTGTGGCGGAAGGTTTTTTAGAAGAAAATGATCAGTTTTTTTCCCTTTTGAACTACAACAGTACTGTTCATTTTAGATTCCCATTTTTCCATGCTGGTTGCACACAAAGCTGTTTTTTGCAGTGAAATGTGTTATGTTGGTTCTGAAATGTCTATTAAATTATTTCTTATGAATTCTTTCAACGAAGTTTGACAAATATAGTAGATATATTCTGAAAATCCTGGAAAAAAATGAGCCAATTTTAACGTAAAATTGACACTTTTTTTAGTAATATCTGAAAATTTACATCATATACCCCCACTTCTGATGTTATTTTCTAAATATTTAAGTTACCTTTGAGCTATTTGCTTAAATTCAGAAAAAGTTTAAGACTTTAAAATAATTTTCTTGCTTATTAAATTTTCAATACCAGAAAAATTACATTTTCTTAGTGCAGAAAGGTCAAATAATTAATTATGCGAAGCAATCTGAAACTTTTTCGTAGTCACAATTTTAAAGTGTCTTATTCTAAATAGACTTTGAGTTCATTTTGTTTCATGCTTTAATTGGATAAAAATATTGGAGGGAAAACGTCGAAGATGTAATTTTTAATTAAGACACAAATTTCAGTGCAAAAAGGTCATATTAAATGTACTGTAGCGCCAAAAGAAGCACATTAACCCCCATTTCTTGTCTTAAATTTTAATTAAGCTATGTATGTAGAAACTAAAAATATACTTGGCAAAAAAAGTTTAAGACTTTAAATATCAGGATCGAACGTCGTTAAGCAAATGATCCATTTGTCATAAATATATTAAACGATTTCTTGATAGTAAAACAAAAAAAAGTGGTGTATTCAAAGTTGAACCTGCCTTTTGATTGGTTAATTCGGATCTTGAATCTCAAAACTCGAAATTCGAATCTCGTATTTCGAACCTCGAATCTCGAATGAGTCTTAAGGGCTTTCGTATTCATACCTGGCCATCTAAGTCACAAAATGACTTGACATGCCTCGGTCGATGTACAATGTACAACTACATGTACAATGTACCTCATCTGAAGTGTTTTATTGTTCGATGACAATGAAAGAATTATCTGAGGTTTGTCGAATCTTACATAAACTGCTGAAAAAAGAAATGTAACTGTACAGTGACCAACAGGTTTTATCAATGCATTATGTTTTGTTCTTATAAAGTTTTTGCCTTTCTGGGAAAATTTACATGTTTTACTTACATTTTTAAAAATTAGAAATATTACACTATTAAAGGAGACCCAACTCATTTTTCTCTGATCAAGGAAAATGTTTCTGAAATATATTTTGTGAAAACAAAGCTTCATATTTCAGTGCTCCAAGTCGCACTTACTTTTAGGTCGCTAAATGGCGACCTAAAATTTTTTGGGTCGCAATTTCAGAATTTCCGGTCGCCATAATCAAATTTTTCACTCGCCATGATGAAAACATGTAAATAACACAATTAAAACAATGAACTAACTTCCACATGTGTTATGTTTTAATGAAGATTATTAATTACTGTGACTAGAAATCTTTTAAATTGCTAGTTGAAGGATGTATCGAGATATTTTTTAAACATTAAATACAACCACCCTTTGTATAGTACACAGAAGAACACAAGTAATCTGATCCTAGAATTAGAGTTAAATCAAAAGAAAATAAAACTTTGACGGTTGTTAAGACAGGATTTTGCCAATTGTTTATCATGTTTACCTGTTTACTTACAACTCTATCTTAACCATAACTCATATCAATGCTGCCAAAACACTTAATTGTGATATGCAAGCCATTGACCAAATGCTCTAATAACAAAGTCAGAGAAACTCTAAGAAGTTTACGATGTTTGGATGCCACTCTCTCAGAAAAAAATGTATATAGGTTTCTGGTTCTATCAAACTTGACTATTACAGCATGCTGTCATAACATTATGTGGTCTAAGTCCATACGATGCTTTGGAAAGTGAATTAAAGTATATATCTTCAAACATTGTCTTGATAGAGAATCTTGAAAACGTAAATCTTGATCCCGATCATAAAAAGATGGAGGTTGCCAGCCCAAATTTTCTCAGTCGCGAAAATGCAATTTAGTTTTAATTTCTAGTCGCAAAACCAATTTTTTGGTCGCAAATGCGACCGTTTTAGTCGCAACTTGGAACACTGTATTTTAAAATATGTTTGGATTCTTGAATGTCGCTATTTTACGTTGTAGCTTTTTTTTACTGTTTAGTTGTGAAACTAAAATTAATTATTTTCTAAATTTATAAATACATACTAAATACAAGTATGTTTATTTCTGTAACAGGGTTAGATTTCATAATTACATCTCGGTCCCCCCCCCCCTTTAGGATCCCCACATAAAACAACCCGTCCCAATGAACGATAGATATATATGGGGTATGTGAACATATAAATATAATTACATTAGAATGATAAACATTAACCGGTCATTCTTTTTACAAAAAAATCCGAGGGGGTTAACTTCTGGGGATCGATAATATATATATAAAATTTACTAAAGATAATATATTCATGTATTGTGGGGATAGAGATCGGGAATAACCAGGTTTCAGAATTGTTCATTCTCTGGAAACAACTTCATTATCACCCAGATTGCATGATCAGAACATGATGTAGACTTAACACTGTGTAAAATTACTATATAATAGTGTGCAAGGTTTCCCTGTACATGCGGTGTGTGCTTTTTGTAGTTATTGACCTATACAAAATACACACACTTATTACCGTTAGGAAAATATTTTCAGCATTGTGCAGAATACGGCTAAGTTTCATGTTTGTACACTTTTTTTTATTTACGGAAAAACATTCTACCCCCCCCCCTCTCTTTTTTTCGTGCATTTTTAATAATTTTACTGTAAAATTCCAACGTTAGAAACTGTAATAAACCTGAATAAAACATTTCAAATATATTAATTTTCGTACTTGATTTTCTGTAAGCTTTGTTGTCGATGATGTAAATATCCCAGTGTGGATGGAGACCTATACAGGATCTCACGATGTCAGGTCTCCCGTATCTCCAGAGCCACGTCACGTGATCGACACTGTCCTGTGATCTCCCTCCGTAATGTACAGCCTCCCCTTCTCTTCTTAGATCCGATAGAAACTCTTTTCTTTTATCCTCACTCTCCTTTAGTATCTGGTTTGAAATATTCACTGTAGAAGAAGATGATCGAGTATTGTCACACTGTTATACATATAATTTCCACCAAAATATTTCTAAGGAATTAAAGTTATACAAAAGTATATCGTGTATACAGATAATCCAATAAAGAATCTCAGTTGTCAGAATTAAAAAAAAATTGTAAAGCTTCCGGAGATGGAATGAAAGCATCAGCCATAATGTACAAGCCTCATCAATGGTCAACATCTTAGGAATCATATCATGGAACGTTTAAAGTAACGTACGTTTATAAATATACCAATCTTTAGAATTCAATCAATCAATTGAAACATTTTCTGTATTTTGAGAAAAATTACATTTCTTTACAAAGACTTACATATCTTGTGTATCTCATCATATATATCCGTGTCCTCCATGGTGACGTGAGTCAGTATGTTCATCTGTAGACGGCGTATCAGTACGTTATCAATGACAAGGTCAATACTAGTGACACACTTCTCTCCAGGTTTTCTGTTGTAGTCTAATGATCTTAGGTACATACTGGCTGTGTTATAACTACTGTGATAGATTGGTATATTAATGTCTATTGATGCTATCCAATACATTGTCTCATCCTTTGTGTCCTCCGTTATCTTGTCCTGATCTTCCCAAAGGTAATCACTTGACTTCAGTCTGTCCAGAGTCTGCTGTGCTTCCTCACTTGTTACAGGATTATAGTTACGGTACACGTTCTGTTGAACGTACGCGTACTGTCGTATCTCATTAAGTATGTCCAGCCACTCTGTGTTAGTGAAGTCAGGAGGACCGCAGTCAGAACACAGAAAACAGAATAACACCAACACCTCGTCATCAGTCAGTGTGGAGAACGGATCTAGAAATTGAACATACAATGATCAACTCACTGAAATGGGATATGTGCATACATGTAGTCTAAAGAGGGTTATAATTCAAGTGGTGCAAGCAAATATTTTCAGGGGGGGTGGGGTGGGGGGCTAAAAACTTCCTTGACAACAAAATTAAACTTCATTAGAATTTTATTCAGTATGTTTTCTATCAATAGTATTTGAATATATAAATGATCATGTAAGCCATTATTACACTATTTCATTACACCATCTTGAAACAAAATATGGCAATCCGTCTTTTAATTGTTTCTCTCTCTCTCTTTATCTCTCTCTCTCGATCGAAACAAACTGATTCATAGACTGATATACGTGTTTAATTTATGATTCAATTGATTGTAATTAAATTATGCTGAAATCAAAAATTTTTGATAACAAATAAGCTTTGATTTCCTTTATATATGTACTTTTTTATAATTTCTCTTTAAATACTCTTTAAATTATTTTCGGGTGTTGGGGGGTGGGGGGGGGGGGAGAAATTTTGAGAAAATCGTTATTAGCTTATTTTATTCATATTGCTTACATTAATATAGAAATTGATTTTTTTTCTGGAATGTGAACAACTTTATTGTAGCAAGATACGTTAATGCTACGGGTACGTTTGAAAGAAATTAATTTGTCCTATTGAATAGAATTTGGCAGTATTTCTTTATAGTGGAGTGACACTCCTAGAAAAAGATGCCTAGTTTTCGAGTTTAATGGACCGTCGTACCCTACGGCTGAAAGTTATATTTTATAAAAGAGACATCCCTCCTCGTAAATTTTCGCACGGTCGTAGAGTTTTCTCAGGTCAAATTTCTTTTTTAACTTGCGATGAAATTGAAAAGTGGGGGTTTATTTAAGTGGTTTATTTTACTTGTTGATAATATTTTTTTCAAAGATTAATTATTAATTTTAAAAGAATACTAATGTGTGTGTGATAGGATATCTAAATTTGCAATGCAAAATTAATCAGGACTATTATTTGCCCCCCCCTTTAAAAAATCATGTTTTGTTATAAAAAATATGCGATATTGAAAACGAATGTTTACTTAAGCGTTAGAAAGATTTATAAGACAATGGTTTCTGATCAAACCGCACACTAAGTCTTGTATTCTACTTGATCTAAAAATGTGTAACTGGAAACGGATTGTAGAATCCCATCATATCTAAGAAAGAGACTCTCTTTGATCAAAATACTGATAAATATATTAAATTGGCTTCTATAATTAATAAGATAATAAGCTAATATTCAGTTTGAATTTAAATTGATCAGCATTTGAAAGTAATTTTCCTTTTTTCAATTTAAAAAAAATACGTAAAGGACAAACATGTCACTTTTCTTTCACATGCCCAAACAATCTTGTTATCATTTGGACATCCTGGCTTTTTGGCATCAATTTTATATTGTTTTTTTTTAAAGAATATTAAAAAAATATTTTAAAAATAATGAAAAAAGAAAGGTCATTTACATTTGTATTCAATTAAGTATATTTGTATATTTATACGTGTTTGAACAAGGTATCTTGCATGATTGGTATTGCTTTCTTTGAGAACGCCAGGGGACGGCGATCACTTTGGGCATGCACAAAGTAAGCGCCGTGTGATCGCGGTCTGATAATAACGCAGTAGAAACGTAGTATGATCGCAATAGTAGCCCGGTGAGATCTCCAACAACGTAGTGGGAGCTCCGTACGAACGCTTTGAAGACGCACATGATCGCGGCACAAACGCAGTGATAATAGACTGCGCTTCCACGGAGACCTGAAGCAGATGTCACGGAGTCCTTGGAGATGTCACTGCGTTTCCATCGCGTTTTTACGGCGCATCTAATGATATTTATCGTCTTGTGATTTTTTCGACTGCGATTACACAGCGACAGCACCGAATTGTCATTGCGATCATTGCGCTCCCAGGTTGTCTCTACAGCGTCCGTTGGCGATCACAATGCGCTTTCACGGCGTTGTTAGACCGGTGTCAACCAGCTCACAAACAAGAGCAATAGGATCATATTTGATCAGCAATAATTCCAGAGAAAATTACACCAGAACTTGTTCTGTTGTTTCACTTAAATTTTGTGGAAAACTTTTCATTGTGTTTATTTTTTTACTTAATAAAATTAAAGAAAATCTAACAACACATCCGAACCGATAAATTGGAAAAAAGGAGTTTAATCATAAAACTATTAACTACTAATTATTTAGTACTAAATTATTTAAATAGAGCATTTTTAATTATCTAGAATATTTCTTGGCGTCATTAGAAGTCTTTTCATCGTGTTACTCGAATTTTTAAACAAAAATGTTTTACATTCCTTCTGAATATATATCAATGTTTATAGAACGCATTGTGAACGTACTGTGAACGCAGCAAGCGCAGTGAGAACGCCGTGAACACGAGGTGAAAACTCCTAATGCGCCGTGAAAACTCCGCGGAAGCGCAGTCAATCGCAGAGACATTCCGCCGGAACGCAGTAGAACGCCATGAGATCGCCGTAGAATCGCATCCGTCGCCGTAAGGACGCCATGACATCTTGTATTGTGAAAATTGAACAGAAATCTGTGCAATTTTCCTGCGATTTCACGGCGATTTTAAAAATTTAACAACGTTGTAATGACTCCGTGTGAACGCAGCTTGGTGTTACAGGGCCTTTAATCTGGAATAAACGGATGCCAGTCTCGGCCACGTCCGACTCGTTAGGACTCTTAGTTCGGGGCCACTTCGGCCATATCCGACTCGATCATTTTAATATGTCTGTTTGTTGATTTATATTAACTGTTGCCATGGTTGAGACTCATCTAATAAATTCGGAACCCTTCATCCTTTGTTTTATCTCTGGAATTGCATATTGGTGGACCCTTGGGAATAAGGCACACCTACTGTATACTTCATTTTTACCTTACGGCCACACAGCGCCTTTACTTTATACCTCGTGCCCTCTACGCCAACATTCCCTTACCCCGTTCGTTCTGCAAACAACGGATGCAGTTCCAGACGAAACCTTAGTACCGTCCAAATCTACACGCTCACAATACTATCACCGTGCAGAATTGACCCTTTTTGTCCCCCGCCTTCGCGAAAGCGAGGGGACGTTAAATCTCATTCGTCTGTCCGTCAGTCTGTCAGTCTGTCCGTCTGTCAGTCCGTCACAAAAACTTTAACCTTACCCATAACTTTTGATTTAGCGGAGCTCATATTTCACAAGTGTATTCTTTGCGTCAAGACCTTTCTTTGGGTACCACCAAATTTGACCTTTTGACCTTGACCTTTGAGTTTGACCCACTTTTACACAAAAAATCCTAACTTTTTCTTTGGCCATATCTTTTGAATGATAGAAACTAGGACTTTCATATTTCACACATATATATTTTTTTTTGGCAAGACCTTTCATTGGATACCAACAACTTTGACCTTGACATTGGAGATTTACCACCTTTTGAAAAACTTTACTCTCGACCATAAACCTTGAACGGTTAGGACTAGGGCTTTCATACTTCACATATATAGTCCTTGTAAGAAGACCTTTCATTAGATACCATGAACTTTGACCCTTTGACCTTGACCTTTGAGTAAGACTTTTTTCAAGAACTTTGACCTTGGTCACAACTTTTGAATTGCCAATACTAGGACTTTCATTTTTCACATATGTATTCTATGTGGCAAGACCTTTCTTTGGGTACCACCAATTTAAACATATTGACCTTTACCTTGGAGTTTAACCCCTTTTTACACAAAAATTCCAAACTTTTAATCTGGCAATAACTTTTGAATGGTAGATACTAGGACTTTCATATTTCATATATACATTCTTTGTGAAAAGATCTTTCATTGGATACCAACAACCTTGACCTTTTGACCTTGGAAATTTTTCATACTTATAAAAAACTTTAACCTTGGCCATAACTTTTGAATGGTAAGGGCTAGGGCTTTCATACTTCATATATGCAATTCTTGTGAGAACACCTTTCATTGGATATCATGAACTTTGACCCTTTGACCTTGACCTTTGAGTAAGACTTTTTTCAAGAACTTTGACCTTAGTCACAACTTTTGAATTGCCAATACTAGGACTTTCATTTTTCACATATGTATTTTTTGTGGCAAGACCTTTCTTTGGGTACCACCAATTTAAACATATTGACCTTTACCTTGGAGTTTAACCCCTTTTTACACAAAAATTCCAAACTTTTAATCTGGCAATAACTTTTGAATGGTAGATACTAGGACTTTCATATTTCACATATATATTCTTTGTGAAAAGATCTTTCATTGGATACCAACAACCTTGACCTTTTGACCTTGGAAATTTTTCATACTTATAAAAAACTTTAACCTTGGCCATAACTTTTGAATGGTAAGGGCTAGGGCTTTCCATACTTTACATACATAATCCTTGTGAGAAGACCTTTCATTGAAAACCAAAAACTTTGACCCTTTCACCTTGGCCTTGGAGTTCAGTGATGATTTCAAAATAAATGACATATGATAGGATGTTCATATTACGCACAATATGTCATAAATAATGACATCTCACCCACAAAGATACAGAAAGCGGGGGACCACAATTCCTTGAATTTGCTTTTTACAATATTTCTTTTGGACTTTTATTTTGAACTTAAATCTGTGTCAACTGTTATGTTCATTGAAATTATTTCTAAATCTTTATTAGTTGTTAGAATATGAAACACTAAATTTTACTTAATTGCATAGTGACACTCTAAGGACAATTATCGTGAACTACACAGGGACAGAGTGTTAGCCTTCACTAATCTCTAATACTTTATAGAAACAAACATGTAATTATTTAATTGGTGTTTCTCTCATGTTCATCTTATCAAACCTTTTAACAGATTGTATAATTTGCTCAACACATGTCATTTTGTCACTCAATTTGATAATTGTTTCCATAGAATTCTTTTATATACTAGTATCTAAATTGTATTTGTTAGTTCGGAGGCCAAACACATTACTGGCCACTTCCATCTGTGTT